GTTACTAGGTTAAACCTCATAATTTTCCATTATAGGAAATTATATTATATTTTTTTGATTTCAGTTACGAAACATATAACTAAAATAAATGATTTAAGGGGCCGAAACTTAATCAATAGCGAATCAGAAATGACGTGATATCATCAAGTAATATCTGTCAAAATAAATTCAACCTTCAGTATCCTACTAAATATTTGAGAACTTATGAAGTTTCAACATAACAGCAACATCTCAGGCAGAAGCTGTGACTTGGGTATACTAAGAGATCTTTCATAATTCTCTAATACATTATTAGTTATAGTGCCGCGATTTATTAATTTATTGCTAAGATTAATAAATGATAATTCATCACCACAAATTATATATTAGTCAATTCATATTTCAATTACGTACAAACACATTTGCTATTTTAAAATGATTTTTTTAAAATAATGTATTAATAAGGGCAAATTATTATTTATTTTTATTATTACTAATAATAATAATTATTATTGATGTAGAGATGGTTGACCGTTGATATGATATGAGAAGGAGTTAGTCGAGGTTGCGGTCAGATAAAAAAAAAAAAAAATTAAAATATATAAATATATATATATATATATATATATATATATATATATATATATATATATATATTTATATAAATATTAAAATTATTTATATATTTTAATTTTTTTTTATTTATTTGACCGCACCCTCGACTAACTCCTTCTCATAATAATTATTATTATTTATTAATTATAATTATTTCAAATTATATCGACTTTGGTCATGCTAGATTGTATAGACTGTTCTTCGGAAGGATAATCATACAATGAACATGTTAAAATATAATTTTATAATCTATAATAGATTTCAGTTTTCTATAATGATTGTTTAGTATTTCAGAGGGAATAGTTGATAATCAACAGGTAATTTGCTACAACTATGCATTGCATTATTTAGGGTCATCATAAATGTAAATCAGGCAGCAACAAGCAAATTGGCTCATTTTCATAATTAAAGCTCAATTTTAACATTACTTATTCGTAGCAGATGTCATTTATCGAAAACTATTTCGCAGCGCGCTCAGGTTATGTGGAAGGCTAATTATCAGTTAAAAGCGTGATATAGGACAGAGCAGTATGGTCGTTGGCTTATTTATCATTTATTATTTATCATTCTACCTAGTTAAGTTACGGTTATTAAAACCTTCCAATGCAGGAGAATAAAATACCATATATTCACGAAATACTAATAAAGTTTAACAATTATCCTTATTAAAAGATAGGTTCAATTACAAACCAGGTATTATAATTAAATGTCTATAAATGCAACACACATATTTATATAATTAAAAGAAAGACTTTACACTTTTTAGAATTGTTAAACAAACAATTGTTTGTCTGACCGAAGACAGTGACAATGAAGTAGAATTGAAATTTCCTGATGAACTAGAGTGGATTAATTAAACTGATAAAAGTTGAATTTTAAAATTCGGATTTAACAATTTTATTAGTATTACCACTTAGAGAGAATATAATACTAATTTTTTCCTAATTTTTAATCATATTTTAGAGAATGAGAAACGAAATTGTCTCTATTCGTTGCTATGGAAAGGAATGATTGAATTTTAATTAATTAATGTGAATTTTAAAACGTGAAGAAAGTTTGTTCTTTTAAATGTTCTAGGACGCTAGTATAGAGGTAATCCCGTCTGACGTCTAAGAAGCCCGGTGGTTATGAACATAAATTAATGATTGACGACACACATCACTGCTTTCTCATACATAGCTCGTATTGCATTGCGTGTTTTTGGCACAGACTTCATTGGGAGGTAGTTAAGTGCAATATAATTTTAATAAAGAATATTAGTATCTTTTCCCGAAAAATAAAGCAAACTATGTTCAAACAAATATACATCAGAACAATTATTTTTTTATATATAAATTGCAATGTTATGATTAGCAATGCTGACATCTTTTTTTTGAAAAAAAAACAAAAAAAAACATAATAATAAATATGTAAGTGGCGTTATAGTATAATGTTAATATGTTTTCGCCCAATTTATGGCAAGGTAATTTTTTTTGTAATTACTAAATATTACGAGAAATTTTTCAATTCCATTTTCAAAAGTTTTATTTAATCGTATTTAGTTGTCTTTATTTTAATAAACCTGTCTAGCAGGTAATGTTTTTGTTGCTTAGGTTTCACGTTTCACCGCTGTATCTGATGATTGGTCATGTCAGCGTCCTGTACAGAATTTACTTGGTGGTACGGCCAAGGCCGTGGTTACATTGGACACGTAAAGAAACGATGGAAAAGGTACTTTCTATGGCAAGGTCACGCTCCGAAATTCTAATTCATTCATCATTTCATGTTTAAAGTTGTCCAATATAAGTATTAAATATTAGTTTAATTTTATCAATATTGTTGTTTTTATGTATTCCTATAAATAAATATTAATTTCAATAGTATTTATTCCATACATAATCCAAAATAAGTTCAAACTCAGGATAAAAATGACAGTATAATAAATGATTCAATTATGAAAATGAAAATATGTAGCGACTTTTAATAGAATAAGTAGTAAGTAAATAGAATTGAGCATATATAGTTATTTGTATTAGAAGAAGTATTTATAATAATATAAAATAAGGGTGTGTTTTGTTATTTCTTCACCAGATTTATTTCAATTTCCATCGGATATGTTTCGGCTAGTAAAAAGTCACAAAAAAAAATTGCTAAATATACCTTTTGAAAGAATTTGATAATTGAATAAAGGAGAAAAAAATAAAAATGCTTATCCAGTTCGAAAATGAATCTTCGGAAATACTAGTCAGAAGGTATACGTAAAATGTAATAACTCGGGGGAGGGGGGACGTCTGCCTATTCTTATGCATTTCGTCTTCTATAGATTAATGTCCATATTAATGCTAGACAGCTCTTCTTGCATGATATTTATGTTGTATTGCAGGTCCCGGTCATCTGCAGCGAATATAACGAGGTTATCGGCAAAAGCGAGGACTCTGTAGAAAGTAGGCTGTAGACTACAATATTCCAGTCGAAAACGCCGCAGTCTGGGTTCAGCTCTCCTCAACGCTTGATCCAGCACCAGTATGAAAAGTAGGGGACTTAGGCTGCACCCCTGCCGTATTCCCTGCGTCGTTTCAAACTCCTTGGATATGTGATTGCCAGTCCTTATGATATTTCTGGTCTAATAGTAGTATAACCCATAATCATAGGCTAATCAGAGACTAAATTTATGTGGTTAAAAAAAAATGAAGGAGTTACAAGGTTTTCGATTGCCTGCCGTCGGTATGATAAATAGAGTTTGTAATTTTATTATATAATTATTAATTTTAATAAAAAATTAGTTTATGATTTTAATGAGTTGCTTCAGCCTGTAAGATTTAAGAACTTTGTAATAGTCCAATATAGCCAGGAATTTTAGGATTAGTCGCTGAGTAGCAACAATGGTAGTTATTACCGAACTAGCTCTCGAGTTTTATAATAGCATGCAGAATTAAAAATAATCTGGAGATGAAGGAAATGAGATAAACGCTAAGGATGATATACTAGATATTAGGACGAACGGATTAGCGGCGGCTGTGCAGGGGTGAGCCCGAATCGATGACCCTACATTATTGAGGAATGGTCAGACTCGAACGATAAATCCTCGAGAGCAATTACCGATATGCTCTGTCTTCGAGCCAGGTCCACCCGGCCCTGCTCATAGGTGGAACTCACCTCTTACTTTATGAGGAATGTAGCCAATTTATTACGATATTCCGAGACATAAATCACATAAAGCCGATGATATCCATGAATGTTTTTTTTTTCTAACCATTGGGTGTGAACATCTGGAATCCTAATCTTTATTAGGTTATAATTCTGGTCTAAATCGAAAATTCTAAATAATACTTTGTTGGAAATAAGAAATCAACGAAAACAAAAAATCTATTATGAGTAGATATATAAATATTTATTTTCATAATTAAGGAAGTGAAAGAATAATTAAGTCGTTCATTTCCAGAATGATCCATAATCGATTTTTTTTCTTAATTTGACAAACGTATCGATTCCTATACAAAAATGGAGCGCGCATCACTAACCACATTCCTCTTAATAGAAAGAAATATTTTAGTACAAAGGTAAGTAAAAATAAAAGTTATCAATCGTTTTATTATTTTTTATTCATTCCTTCCAAGTTCAGTAAAATAAAGCTTATTCATTTTCAGAGGTATTAATTTAGTTTTTTAAATTATTTTTTCCAAACTCTTCAATAGCACACCACAAGCCTTGAAGAATGGTGTCAAAACTGGAGGATTAAAATAAATTCTAATAAATCCCATCAAATCACCTTTACCCTTCGACGTAAACCTATGACCTCATGTCCCACAGTATCCTTTGATAATACCCCACCTATCCCTGTTGAACAAATCCGATACCTTGGACTTCACTTGGACAAACGTCTAACTTGGAATCCTCATACCAGACTGAAACGACAAGAAACCGCTCGACGTTTCCGACTACTCCAACACTTACTAGACAAACGCTCTAAGCTTCCAGTTAATTACAAAAGACTTATATACATGACTACCATAAGACCTATTTGGACTTACGGAGTTGAGCTTTGGGGCTCCACTAGGCCATCGAATTCCTCTCGTATACAATCCTTACAATCCAAAATTCTTCGGAAAATCCTCAATGCTCCTTACTTTGTCACCAATAAAATAATCCATAATGACCTTAATGTTCCTTATTTTTCCGATTTGGCCCAATACCAATCCTTCCATAATAAACTTCAGAACCATCCGAATCCTCTCGTCTCTAACCTTGCTTCCTCTTCTATTCCTGATAACCCTCTGAGGCGTCTGAAAAGAAGATGGCCTCGAGATCTCTTATTGTAAATACATTTTGTTTTTAGAGTGCTACCAGTGGGTAGTTTCTCAACAAGTCATTTCATGTTATTATTTTATGTTATCAAATTTACTTAATGTATTTAATTTTTTAATACAGTTGTAAATATCATGAATAAATAAAAAAAAATATTTTTTCATGTAATTGCAATTAAAGAAGCAAATGAGAAAATAAAATAAAACATGGTTTACTGCAAAAACAACAAAAGAGAAAAAATATATGTTGACCTATTGATAGTAAAAAAAGGCATACATCGTGTAAGATTGATTTTTAACACTTTATTATTTTGTAAATTTTATTGTTTTCTTTTTAAGTTTTTCTCAAAATTATAAAAATGTCGCATTCGATGTTTCTGCAATATTCGATATGATTAGCATGTTGCTAATACCATTTAGTTGAACCGTAAAGCATAATTGCAAGTGATACGATTTGTTATATGCTTTTCCAATAAGTAATTCAGAGATATAAATAAGCAAGGTTTAAAAAATAACAAAAAATAACTATTCATAAGTAACCGAAGACAAAGGTCGTATTATTAGAACGTTTATAAATGCTTCTAAAGAGCGAAGAGAAGTGGAAGTTTCTTCGCAGTTCTTCGGTTAAGTAACGTATAAAGTTAAGTGTACACTTAGCAGGATTGGCCACTTCACAGGGTCTCTTCATAGAGATACACAGCACAGCTCTTTCTTTACAACCATGTATATATATATATATATATATATATATATATATATATATATATATATATATATATATATATATATATATATATATATATATAATAAAAACGTAAGGATTAAGATTGGCAAATATATTTCTTCACATATACGGAATACCAATTCCGATAATAGGAATATATAAATCTTATTTTCGTTATCACATTTGATGATAAATATGTGAAAAATAATTATTTTCAACATTTTATTTTCGTTAATAAAATGTGTATTTAGATAGATAGATAGATAGAAGAATCAACTTTATTCTGGGACTACGTCCCTTGAGAATAACAATATTGTACATAAAATTAAACATTACATCTGGCCAAAATGTATATTACAATAAACAAAAACAAACAAACAAACAAAAAAAACAACTAAAAAATAAGGGATAAAAGAAGTGTTTACATAACTGTACAGATATCGGAAGCCATAATATGAGAAATAATGTCCTAATACTGCAAAATAGTTGCTATACACAATACGCTATGAAATTATAAATGAGCGACAGATAATAATAAAGATGTTATAGTAATAGTAGTATGTTCGTAGAACATAATAGTATAATCGAAATACAATAATAGTGTAATCGTACATACACAATATATACACCCAATAATACAATAATAGTGAGAATACAATAATAGTACAATAGTATATATACAATATACATATATTAATATATATATACATATACATACATACACATATACATACATACAATGCAACAATAGTATAATAATACAATATAGGCTACCCAGCGTCTGATTGAATTGTAAGGAGGAATTGGAAAAGGAGGGTTTTAAATGTGGATAAGGATGGTGCATGGCGGATTTTAAGTGGGATGGAATTCCAAAATGTGGTGGATCGGACAATAAAGGAGTGTTGAAATGAGGCCGATTTGTGGAAAGGGGTATAAAGGTCGGAAGGACGAGATCTTGTGGAGAGGGAGTGGATAGATGACTTGAATTGAAGGAGATTGAATGCGTAGGACGGACGATGATTATAGATTATTTGGTAAAGGAATGTACCTAGGAAGTACTGTCTTCTGAAGGAGGGGAAGAGCCACCCTGACTCGGCGTAGTAGTGGGAAACATGAGAACGTCTCGGGGTCCCATTGACAAATCGTACTAAGCCATTCATTATTCTTTTCAGTCTGACTCCAAGTTCCGATGAGAGGCCACCGTACACTACACAGCCGTAGTCAATGTGGGGGAAGATGAGGGCGGATACTAGGAGTCTACGTGTGGATATGGGTAGGAGATGGCGGAAGCGATGGAAGAGTTTCAGGATGGAAATTGAACGTCGGGATATGAGGGAAATATGGTGATTCCAGGAGAGGGTTTGATCTATGATAACACCTAAGTTTTTAACTGAAGTGTTGAAGGTGATGGGTTGGTCATTCAGGTACAGGAGAGGAATGTTGGTATTTGATCTGAGAAGGGGTTTGGAACCGAGGACAATGGCTTGGGTTTTAGCAACGTTTAACCTTAATCCATTTTCACTTGCCCAGGCACAAATCCGATTTAGGTCTTCTTGTATTTTGGCAAACGCATCATGCCATTCAGAGGGAGCGAAGGAGAGGTAAATTTGGGAATCATCGGCATAAAGGTGATGTGAACAGTGAAGGATTGATTTATGAAGGTCGTTAATATATGAACTAAAAAGGAGAGGAGATATGCTGGAGCCCTGTGCCACTCCTGAGGACAGAGTTAGATAGGATGATAAAGGTTGGTTCGGGATAGAGACTGCTTGGGTACGTTGAGAGAGGAATGATTGAAACCAAAGGATAGAGCTGTTGGAAAAGGATAACGATTTCAATTTGGAGAAAAGGATGGAATGGTTAATGGTATCAAAGGCTTTGGAAAAGTCCAGGAGGATAAGGACCGTTAGTTTTTTATCATCTATGGCTGACTGAACATCACTAACGATTTTGATTAGGGCGGATTGTGTGGAGTAGCCTGGTCGAAAACCAGACTGGTAAGGGTCAAGTTGATTGGATTGTTCTAGGAAGTTGGAAATTTGGGATTGGACTATTCGTTCTAGAGGTTTTGCAAGGTTAGACAGAATTGAAATTGGACGGTAATCTTCAGGGGAAGAAGGGTTAGGATTTATGCAGTTATGTTTATTATGATACATTTTATGCCAAGAAAAAAGAAAGAAAAGAAATTAAAGGTTAGCAATAATTTATTTTAGTAATTTTTCTAAAATCATTGATACTTTTGGTGGAATGCATTTCACTACTGCAACGGTTCGGGAACAGAACAAGACCCTAGGAAACTTCGCTTCGCTAGAACATAAACTTTTGAGGTTTCAATGAGGTCAAATATTTTTGTCAGAATAGTCAAATATGTACTAATGGGATTGAAGCAATAAAATTTATTGTACTGATCGTTGCCGAAGTGGATTAACGAAATAGTCGTGTAGGTTATTCGCTTCAAAAGTGAATCATAACATATTTAACATTTAATTTTGTGTTTGATTAAATATAATAAAATAAAAAAATAAGAACCTGACCATGATTTTAAGATAAAAATTAGCAAATTTTCAAAATATTAATTAAAATGCCAAGATTCAGATAAACTATTAAAATAATAATAAAATAATATTAAAAAAATATTTTAATCATATTTTATTATTACTATTATTATTATTAAGACCAATGATAAATATGTGGTTTGGTCAAATGAAATTTGTCATAGAAGAGTATATATCATTAGTTTATATGTATTTAGAAATCCTAAGATTTTGCATTTAATTTAATTTTAAATCTTTAGCTATCTATTTTCTACCTCTAAATTTTCTAATTTTCTGCGGAGAATCGGACTATTATTAATAAAATCTTTCTTGTAGCTCTTAAGGCATGCCATTATCCCTTAAAATATTCTCCTCTACTTATAGAACCCCTAAATATATATAATAATAAAAGTATATAAAATAATATCCAAAATAAATATGTTTTTGCAACTACACATAGTAGCAAGTTAAATTAAAAAATACTTTAAACAAATTAAAGTTATATGAAATAGATCATTATAAACGAAATTCTGGAGGGCCCAATAATTATTTTTGACTTACCGTTATGAATGCCGAGGCCA